TATGCATATAGAGTGGGACAGCGGTGGGTAAAGTATATGTGGGGTTCTGTAGCCCAGCAAGCAAAGGTAACAATGTTGCTTGGAATTTCATTTCGGCAAAGGCACTGTGTTGTTAGCCCGAACAGGAAATTAGGAGCTCCCTGTATCTCTGGCAGATCAACAGCTGTTTTTATTTACTATCAGCATTGATAACCCTTTCACTGCCAGGACCTTCAGAACTTTTTGCACCTCAGCTGGCCACACCATTTTTACAATTTTTCCCATTGATTTGATTTTCAACTGCTGCGTTGCTAGCGTTTGTTTACTAAAAAAAACCCAAACCATATATTTTCTGAGCACGGGTTCGATAGCATAAAAAGACGGTGCTACTAAATTTGTAGGCCCTGTGATAATTGCGCAAATGTTTCTCAAATTAATATTAAACCGATAAAAATACACAATTGATAAAGCACAATAAAATCAGTATCAGTGAACAAAAAAAATATTTTCTGACTAAATCTAAAAGATAAAAACTGTATTGAGATAATAAATAAAAACATTTTTTAAAGAAAAAAAAATCATGCACTGCGATGCGTTCTAACAAAACACTGCAGCGCATGTGCATGGCGTACACTACAATATGGTGCACGTGTATGTTATGTGTATGTGGGGGAGGGGGGTTTGTGCTTTTTTTGTCAGTAATTAATTATTTTTTTTACACATTTTGTATTTATTTTTTAATAATATTATTTATTTATTTTAATTATTTTTTTTATTTTTTTCTGCAGCCTCAGCACTCAATGAATGAGAAGCTCTCAGTACAGAAGCTTCCCATTCATTCAGAAACTGTTGATAGTAAAATATTTACTATGACCAGGTTCTGAATGGGGAGGAGCCTCTGTAGTGAGTACTACTCCCCATTCAGAAATTCATGAATGAACAGGAAGTGATGTAACTCACTTCCTGTTCATTCATAACTGGGGACACATAGCACTATGTGTCCCCAGTTATTTACAAACATTCAGTGTAAATTCACTCCAGTGTTTGTCCTTCACACAGGGGGTCGGTAATATCACTGATATTTGCCAATCCTCCGCTCGGCCACGCACACTGAGACTGACAGGATGACAGCGGCTCCTCTCCGCCCGCCGCTCTCTCATGCCGCTCGCTTACATCCTGAGACTGACAGGATGACAGTGGCTCCTCTCCGCCTGCCACTCTCTAACTCCTCCTTCCCCCCAGTCGGCCATTTGTATTATGATCCCCACTGCCTCTCAGCCCATACAAGCGGGGGAGAGCAGCGGGATCCATGGAGACACAGAGGAGAGGCTGAAGATGCTGGCTGATGACAGGTATTCATTTAAAAGGGACAGTCCGGGAACAGTTCTGATATAAGTTCATGGTGTCGCTAAAGCATCCATGAGCTCATAGCAGAAATGCCACCGACGTAAGGTATACTGACCTGGCGTTTTGGGAATAGTTTTTTTCCGCCGTATGCCTTACGTCGGTGGCAGGGAAGGGGGTAAAACCTGGGGAAATGTGCATGTATTGGAGAGATGTACTGCATAGTTTTTTATTTTGCCTTGATATACATTATAAGAGACCGCGTAAACTGGGGGTGATTTGTGTAAAACGTTTATAAATTATCAAATATATTGTAATAAATGTAATAAAATAAAAAATAAATGTAAAATATTTGTTATATCTAGAAAGGCCAAAACTCACCAACCAAATTCCACCTCCAACTGCAAATCTGTATACACATGGGTGCAGGCTGCAGTGTGGTCCCACTACTTAAATGATATCTTGCCAATCAGCCGCGCAAGGCCGGAATCCATAAAATCCAAGTTTATTATTGTAAATTCCATACAAAATCCAAAGTTTCAGGTAAAAACAGCATATACACCATACAAACTGCATCACACCCCATCAAAAGATCACAAATAGAGCGGATATTTAAGTTGGACACCCGTATCCCTAAAGGACTTTACATATTTTTATGATTGTCACTATTGGGAAGTGGATTGGGTGTCCAATTAGTAGATTACTCTGTTGCCCATATGGGATTCGAGATCTTTTTTCTGTTTTTGCACATTTAGTTTTTTACACATTGTATATGGGGTGTATTTAATTTTTTATTTACACAGCAACAGAGATGTATATCCCTCTGTTGTGTCATGGATATAATTATTTTGGTGATTTTCTTAAAGATATTGATAAATAGTCCTAGTGATCATTGGAGTTCAATTTCTACTTTTTTTGTACAGATACTTATTTCAATTATTATCTAAATTACCATTATTGATTGGTTTATGCAGGTTATACATAAGAGTCATTCTGTACAGGAGATTGCATGGAGATCTGCTCACTTATTTTGGTTCAGCATGATAAATTCTGCATATAGATATTTCATCTGATGTTTGTTATTCGTCCCACTTTGTCACATTTGGTAATTGATGTGATTTGGTTTTACATCAGAATTGTTACATTGAGAAAAGTTTGTATCCATTTGCAGATACCTACGGTGACGGCTGACCAAAGTTTTTTTATTATCTTGATATGATGTTGGCTTGCCTCTGGTCTTCACCGCCCCACTCTTTTTGCGATCCTTTGATGGGTGTGTGATGCAGTTTGTAGTTTCCACTAGAATGTTATTTGAATTTTTTTTCCAGCTAAGCTGGTTAACTCTAGGGGTCACCTACATTTGCATCACCTTTGGGATGGGGCGGTACCCATCAGATATAAGCATTTGGAAGAATAGAGACTTCACCTCTATGATTCAGCCCAGGTGGTGAAACGCGTGAGGGGCACTGGAGTGGGAGAGATCCTATGGTGGTGTATATGCTGTATTTACCTGAAACTTTGGACTTTGTATGGAATGTACAATAATAATCTTGGATTTTATGGATTCCGGTCTTGAACAGCTGATTGGAGAGATATAGTAAAATATTTGTTTTAGATGTAAGAAAAAACAGTCAACATACCCTTCTCTTCCTCAGATGATTCTTTGCTACCATGTCCTTTACCTTCAGATTTACGCTGACCTGTATAAAATAAGCACACTTGACTAGAAGGTATTTGTCACTTATACAAGTGGCAATATGCTTTATGTCCAGTTCACAGATTCAGGCTTTAGGTTCAGTGCACTGTATGCCCTTTGCAGCCATGTTTTACATGTGTTACCCTTCAATTTTAAGGAATGCATTTTGAAAGCTGCATCGAAGATGCAGCAAACAGGACTATGTCTAACTTACAGTTAGACATAGACACAGTTTATCTCTCTGTCACACTGTTCTCTGCTCTAGACAAGGTTTGGCTTGTATTGTTTCTCCCTGACCCCGTCTGAGCTCTTCTGTACAGGAGATTGCAAAAGGTTTACATAACGTCAAATTCAGGTACGTAAACTATTTGTTCAGCTCTAAAGCTGAATTCCAGGCAGGTAGCTATATATACAGTGTTATTCACAAAAGGGTGAAGAGTTTGGAGAAGGCAGGAGAAGTGAACAATCTAGACCAAAATAGCTGAACTGGAAAGTGAGCTAAATTGGAGAATTTTTCCAAAGCAGCTATTTTGGCCTAGATTGTTCACTTCTCCTGCCTTCTCCAAACTCTTCACCCTTTTGTGAATAACCCTGTTACTGTTGAAATACACATATGAGATTTTTATATCTTGTAATATGTGCAGACAGTTTTGCTATAAAGGCATCCCATCCAGATAGCGTAGCCAGGTCCTTGACCTCCGCTGCAACAGAACAATGGTCAAGAACACTGGTGAGAATGCACCATCAGCGTGCTAGTTGGACAACGATGCATCAACAACACGCTGATGAAGCCACCCCCATTACTCATTTCTCCCGTCAGCATCTTCGCTGTCAGCATATGAGCACTGCACCAAAGCATGTCTCCTAGTGCTGGCCCTCATTCTCCCAATCTGAGTAATACTGCATAGAGGAATGATAATTACAGGAGGATGTTGATGATTACAGGTGGACAATCCAACAGCGAGATCACCCTGCCATAGTTTCTGATTTTGTTCCTGTCCACCTGGGAGTTTTTGGTGCTCCCACTCACCTTTGAGTATTACAGCATTTCCACTTTCTTACTAAATTGTATGAAATAGATTTAAAATTCCAACATTGATAGGATACTATAATGGGGATACAGTGCAAGTTCATGGTTCATACCACACAGTAAATGGAAGGTTAACTAAATCTTCTCTAGGTGTTTCAGACAGATCTTAGATGATTCTTTACATCGTAATCTGTATGTTGTTCTTTTGAAGCTAACATTGATAAACACTCTAAACACATTATATACAAAACATATAGAAAAACAAAAAGGAATGACTGCCTTCAAAGAGGAGACAGTCTAAGGGTTAACCAAAGATTGGGACAGACCATATGTTGAAAATCGTACAAAAAACTTTATTAGTGCATATCCAAGCACCATCAAACATCAAAGAACATGTTTAAAAACACACAACACAATATAAAAATCTCACAATATACAAAACACAGGCCAACTGAAAGCAAAGAAGGTGGCGAGCGGCAAGCTACACTAGTCCACAAATAAATCTAAGATATAACCAGCCTGTTTAAACCTCCATCCACCTGGAGTATGTATTATTGCTATTCAAGAGCTGTTATCTAAAAGGTCTCGATTTAAAGGTGCCGAAATAACTACGGTCTATAAGTACCATCCAAAACGAAATGGACTTTCAGCCAGCTGTGTTTTTAAACATGTTCTTTGATGTTAGATGGTGCTTGGATATGCACTAATAAAGTTTTTTGTACGATTTTCAAAATATGGTCTGTCCCCATCTTTGGTTAACCCTTAGACTGTGTCCTCTTTGAAGGCAGTCGTTCCTTTTTGTATATGCTGCTACCTGGTTATTGATACGGTATTGATACGGTAGATAGACCGTCCTTATTACCGTATTTTTTTTTTAAAAGGGTACTATATAGAGCATTGATCTCCAGGAATGAAACAACCCCAGTTTTTGACATTATATACAAAACATACCCTTATTTTCCTTTGAATGATCTTCTTTAGATGATTTTTTCTTTCCTCCTTTTATGTTAATATTGATCTTTCTGTGCTCTTCATCGCTACCTTCCCAATGACCGCCTTTACCTCCAGATTGTAGATGACCTAACATATAAAAGGCAGTATGAACATTACATTATAGAGTTCAGCATCCTTTTAATGATCATAAGTAAACTGGGGAACAATAAACAGTGAAAACAAAATTAAAAACGAATTGTTAGCGGAAAAAAAGTCAACATACCCTTCTCTTCCTCAGATGATTCTTTGCTACCTTGCCCTTTACCTTCAGATTTACGTTGACCTGTATAAAATAGCACACTTTACTAGAAGGTACTTGTCATTTATGCAAGAGACAATATGCATTAAAGTTCAGTTCACAGATTCATGCTTTAGGTGTAGTGCACTGTATGCCCATTGCAGGCATGTTTTACATGTGTTACCATTACATTCTAGGGGTTGCATTCTGAAGGCTGCATCAAAGGTTCAGCGAGCAGGACTATTTTAAACTCACCTAAACTCACTGCACCTGCAATGTGCAGATGTGAATACATATTGTAAAACCATTAATTGTATCTGACTGTGTGTTCTGGAAAACTAGGACTTCCTCCTGCCCCCAGTCTGTGACTGGACCATGAAAGAGAAGCAGCAGGCTAATGAGTGTATCTCTCTGCCACTCTGCTCTCTCCTTCAGACAAGAATTGGCTCCTTGTATTGGTTCTCCCTGACCCAGTCTAAGCTCTGCTCTACAGTTGATTGCAAAAGGTTAACATCAAGTCAAATTCAGGTACATAAACTATTTCTTCAGCTTTAAATCTGAATTTCAGGCAAGCAGCTAAATATACTGTTGAAATACACATATGAGATTTTTTATATCTTGTAATGTGTGCAGACAGTTTTGTTATAAAGGCATCCTATAAGGATAGCGTAGCCAGGTCCTTGACCTCCGCTGCAACAGAACAAAGGTCACGAATGTGACGATAATGGGGGTGAGTCTGAATATTTAAAATAGAATTATTTTGTCCCCCCAGTCTAGAGCAAATGCAAGCCTTCATTTAGCCATTTGCCAGGTTCCTCCACATTCCACGGAACAGAGATCTGCCTATCTGGCCTGTGATCTTTTATTGCTCAGCCTCTAAGCCTTTTATAGCTTATATCCCTAATTAAAGGAATGTCACTAGGCATTCATCTATTACCAGTGGACAAGTTAATAAACACGAGCAGGTCTGGTACAGATAATGACCCAGGCGACCCCGCATTCACCCAAAAGTCATCAACCTGAGTTACAAAATCAGCTCTATTTCATAATTTGGAATTGGGCGGGGATAGTGTAAAATTAAGTGTTTTCCTCCTCCTTGCTTTCCCTCCCCAGCCCTGCCCTAGGGCCGGCTCCAGGACACCCCCCAAAAGGGGCTTATAAAATATGCTGTCTAGACGACTAGACAGGGCTCTGGGTTTTAAAACATCAAGGAATGAACTAAGAAGTCTTAACATTGCATAAGAGTTCCCCTTTAATTTCTGGACATCATCTGCTGAATGCTTGCTTGAAAAAGAGCCCCTCATACTTCTCCTTTGCTTATACAACTCTGAACTATGTCAGAACTCCTAATTCCAGGACTGTTGAGTATTCACCTTTATTTCCTTTTATTTTACTGTTGTATATATATATATATTTTGTCTCTTGTTTATTAATATCTTTTTTCTGTATATTTTCTACACCGTTCTTGTATTAACCACTTCCAGTCCACCGAATTCTGAAAGACGGCCTACGGGAGTCTCCTGGATGCTGGTAGGCATCTTTAGACGTCCTTCGTTCCCGCGTACTTTTTAATCACCTTTTTATTTTTTTATTTAATTATTTACTATTTTTTTTTATTCTTTTTTTTTTAAATCAATGTATTTTTTTTTCCTCTGTCACTCTCCAGTACAGTAACCAGAGAGAAGCTGATGAAGCAGATCTGTGCTTCATCAGCTTCTCTGGGGTCCCTGGGTGACATTAGGGGTCTTAGAGACCCCTGATGTCTCCATAAAGTGGGCCTATCACTGTAATTTGTTATCACATAGGGGACTTCTTAGCTCCCCTATGTGATAACAATAAAGTTAAGTGTAAAAAAAAAGTAAAAAATAAAATAAAATTGCTCACAAAATAAATACAATTTACACATACAAAAAAAACCCCACAATTTTTTTAAAAAGTCCCCCACCCCCACATAGATGCACAAAAATGCATTAGGTGCGCCTATAAGCAAAAACGACGATTGCTCAAATTATGCCACACATGTTACACATCGCCGCGAATGTCGCAGTGAGAGCAATAATTCTAGGGCCATTAATCACTGATGACACTAAACTGATGAGCGGTAAAATCTTTTAAAATGTCGGCCTATGGTCAATTTTGGCTATGGTAGTTTTTTGCGATTTCGTGGGCGCGCGCAATTTTAAGGCTTGACATATTTGGTGTCTATTTACGCGACGTGACGCCGTCTTTTATATTTTACCAAAATATTGGGCAATAATATATGTTTCCTAACATAATAAAGGGAAAACCTTTTTTTTAAAATATTCGGTACTTTCTTTGTTATATAGTAAAAAAAACCCTGCAGTAGTGATTAAATACGACCAAAAGAAAGCTCTATCTGTCCCCAAAAAATGGTATAAAATTAATTTCAGTACAGCGTTGCATGACGGAATAAACGTCAGTCAAAGTACTGCAGCGCTGAATACAAAAAAATGGCCTGGACAGGAAGAAGGATGTAAACACCCAAGTCAGCAAGGGGTTAAAGGACGATCTTAAAAATCGTTAAGCTTATCTCTATCCTTGCCTCTGTGAAGAGCACTACTGTATAGTAAATCCTGTCATATTCCTGTCTGAGAGGACAGCGGTATCATAGGCATTGTTTAGGTGGTTAAATTGTCACAGCATTTGCTGAGAACGGTCTGTGTTTCCGTTAAAAAACACATGGTGGCAGCGAACGTTTGTGGGTAAAGGGTTAACTGTGGAGTTAACCAACCCTGGTGACGATCGCGCTCAGTCTGCTGAGCTGGGGAATCTCTGTGCAGGATGAGGCTGAGAGTGGTATCGCCACATCATTGTTCAGACTTGTTTATAGTCACGTGTGATTGACGTACAAATTGTACAGATGTGCCACTTTACAGGCAGTTTTAGGGGACCACAAGGCACAATATTTATAGGAATTTTTAATTTCTATTGTTTCACTTTAAGTGATGTTAAAATCACTGCTCCTTTAAAAACTGTATTTTTAAAAAGTGTTTTTTTCATTGATTCATGTCCCCCTGGGCAATACCTGAATCCCCATACCCTTAATATGGCCAATACATTGCATATAAGCCTTCAAAATGGGGTCAAATGATTTTCAAAGTTTTAGCCCCTTAGAACAATATTGAGTTCGAGTTCGAATTCAAACTTTTTCCATGTTCTAAAGTTGGAATTCGAACCGAACAGGGGGGTGTTCGGCCCATCACTACTAACCATTATAAAAATCAATTTTGCTTCCCAGGTTCATGCTATACTGTACCCATCCTATACTAATGAGCAGAAAATAACAGTTAAATAGCAGCTACAAAATCTTTTTGTACTAGTAGCAATGAGAAAGCTGATGGAGTGTACCATTGCTGTTACAAGTCAAGAATAAATTACATACCATGTTCGTTTGACTTATCATCACTTGCGTGATCCTTATCTTCACCAGATGTTTTCTGCTTGCCACCAAATTGAACTATAATTTAAAAAACATGCATTGTTTGTTACAATAGCCTATAATAGTATGTTAATATAAATTGTTAGTATATGATGTTGTCCATTAAATTTTCTTAAAAGTTAAAATGCCACTAAAGTCAAAACAGTCTTAACTATAGACATTTTGAATTTGTAGCAAATTTGCTTGGCAAGTCTACAGCAAGAGTCCTGCATGTCTTAGCAAGAGCTCTGCAAGTGTACAGCATTTTTGCAAAGCACGTTGATCTGGAGACTTGCAATGCAGACTTGCTGTAATTGTGCAACAAAATTGTGAAGCTTGGCAAGTCTAGCAAAAGTTTAGAAAGTCATTTTCAAACTTGCAGCTGAATTGCTTGCTATCTGGGAGGTGGCTGCCGAGGAGCCCGAACACTGAACGGGCTGTAGAAAGGCAGTGGAACTACCGGCTTTTCTCCTCTTTGGCCACCTGCACCTTTCTTCCCCACTTCAGCTACTGTAGAGGGGAGTAAAGCTCTACTAGTATGTAGTACCATAATGTGAGGACAAAAATGAGCATTTCTTTGAGAAGAGAAGGCACACTCTATCAAACATGTGTCACAAATAATGTGAGGTACAGGTCCATAAAGAGTTAAAACCTCTGATGCTTTGACTCGGGCTTGAACTTTCAATCTTCAACAGATTTTGTTTAAATCCTCTTCTAATTTCATGTTTACCACTTATTTTAAGTTCTTGTCCCCCCACCATTTAAAACTCTATGTTCCTTTTTGGTGCGCTTTACAAGTTAGTTACACATCTTCCCAAGAGGATTTTCCAAATCTACACTTAATTTCATGTTGTCCAGTTATTTCAAAAGTTCTTGTCTCCCCACCATTACCAAACTCTATTTTGCCTCTTTGATGACCAAAAAGTCCCCCAAAGTTAAGGTTGCTATCCCATGGTTGTAGTTTGCCACTCTTTAAGTCAATTAGCTCTGTTTAAAGAATGGAACAAGTCATCAACCATTCCCATTAACCATCCATTTGAAGCAATTATATTCGACCACCAATTTGAGATAATTAAACTTTAAATACAAGACAACAGTTAATAGTAATTTACTTTTTCATTCTTCCACATCTTCCTTGGATGATTTCCCAAATCCACCCTTAATTTCATGATGTCCATTGATTGCAAAACTCCCTGTCTCCCCACCATTTCCAAGCTCTATTTTGCCACTTCAACTATTAAAAACCCCTATAGGTTTGGGTTGGCATCTCCCAGTTGGATTTTACCACCTTTCAAGTCAAGCAGTTCTGTTTAAAAAAACAAAAACGAGCGATTCAATACTTCCCAAAAAGCATCCAAGGTGTACAGATCATGTACTCTTAATTATATTCCACCACCTTATTTGAGTTACTTTAAATTAGAATTGACACTGCAAGTAAGTAAAAAATGTTTTTTTTAAATGTTAGCTGTATTTATTCTTTACCTTTCAATTGGTCTATGAATTTCAGCACAAAAAAAACAAAAAACTCACTAGCTTATTTTTAGCTTTAGTCATGTAAATATTTACGTATTAACATAATAACAGCTAAAATGTATGTTTTCCATCTTCCCTGTCTTCCTCAGATTACTGCACAAATGAAGTATTAGGTTGCTGTTTCTGATAGTTTAAATGTCTTTGTATCATCATCATTGCCAAACTCTGTCTTCATTGTCGGGTGTCTAATCAAACTACCCCATTTGATATTTTACTATATCCAAGTTAATTTTTTCACCGTTGAGCCTGATGCAATTTTTTTTTGATCATCTCATTATAGTAGGCAACCAATGCCGGGAAACATGTTGTATGCCTGCATAGTAGCATTTCCCAAAATGGCAGAGGTCTATTAAGGGTCAAATGTCTTTTAAATGGTATATGGTTTATTTCATCATGCTATGTATGACCTTTCAGCCCATTATACCAAAGAAATGGTGATGGGTTAGAACCCCTGTTGGGATTTTACTGCTATTCAGAATGCCATTAGAGAGATGTTTTCTTGTTCTCTGCCCACAGTTTACCAAACAGAAAGTAAGGGTACATCTACAATAAAAAATCATGGGGGTTCTAGCCATTCAATACTCAATAACAATGTGATTTTAGCTCTGTTTGCTGTTTTGCAAGACAGGAAGTAAGGAGAACTGTCTGTAATGGAGTCCCCGATACTAATTAAATCTTGGTAGGGGTTCTTACTTTTTCCCACTCTATCAAATAATTTTTTTTATTGTTGGACTTACATTTTGGGTTAAGGGGAGGAGTCTGCTGATATCTGAATAGAGTTGAGGATGGCACAAGTTTACTTTAAACTTAAATTATGTAGAATATACCTTTTTTTACTTCCTTATTTCCAAAACGTTACTTCTTAAATTCCCTTGGTTTTGTATATTTATGTCCAACCCATGTCACCTAATTCTCTATTGCCAACTATCTGGCCTGCAAGAATGTGCACTCTCAAATTGCAGGAGTTAATTCTTGAAGGATTCTGAGTGTCCAGGAGGCAACATTGGGTGATGGAAGCTGGAATTGACATGAGTATTGTTTATCTTTTTTGGTGAAATATTTACTTTTAATGTTTTTCACAGCTTATTTTGTTTGAGCAGCAGGGGAGTGGGGTTGGAGGTAGTTGGAAAGTGGACCTTCCATTTGCATGGAAGCCACACATCACAAATGTATTTTGATTGCCACTTATATAATTGACTTAACCTATTATGTTCCTAAACTTAAATTTTCCTGATGCTTTATAACCCTTAGAAGCTATTCCAAAACCATCTTCAATGTCCCGGTTTCCACTGAGTTTAAATTACCAAACCTGTAGTATAACCCTTCATCCAACTCTAATTACTGAACACGGATGCTTATGAGTTAACCTACAACATTTCAAAACTTACATTTTCCATCTTGCTCATCTCCATTGGAGGCTTTTCTGAGACCACCCTCAAAGTCCTGGTGTCCACTAAGTTTAAATGTTTTTGTCAAACCACCATTACTTAGTTCTACTTTCCCACTTAGATATGCAAGAAAATCCTCCAAACTGATAGTGACATCACCCATTTGCACTTTGCCACTATTCCAATTAATATGATCTGTGCAAACAATAATAAACAATTCAGGTAATCCAAGACAATCCTGACTTCACAGCCATATCTAGGAAACTAGATATGGTGTATTCTGGCCATCTATATATTTCATAATATTTCACTATCCCCAACTTAAATTGTTACATGTAGTAGATTTTTTGCTGAAATTATAGTGATTCAATTCTTCCCAAAAACACCCAAAGTGTACAGTTCATGTACTCTTAATTATAGCCTACCACCTTATGTGAGTTACTTTCAATTAGAACTGACACTGCAGGTAAGTAAAAAATGTTTTATTGACTTACGCTTTCCTCCTTCCTTATCTTCCTCAGATGATTTCCCAAATCCTCCCTTAATTTCCTGATGTCCAGTGATTTCAAACCTTCTTGTCTCCCCACCATGACCAAACTCTATCTTGCCATTTTGATGACCAGAAAACCCCCCTAGGTTTAGGTTGGCCTCTCCCAGTTGTATTTTGCCACCTTTCAAGTCAAGCATTTCTGTTTTAAGAAAGGAACAAGTGATTCAATTCTTCCCAAAAAAACATCCAAAGTGTACAGTTCATGTACTCTTAATTATAGTCTCCCACCTTATGTGAGTTACTTTAAATTAGAACTGACACTGCAAGTAAGTAAAAAATGTTTTATTGACTTACGCTTTCCTCCTTCCTTATCTTCCTCAGATGATTTCCCAAATCCTCCCTTAATTTCCTGATGTCCATTGGTTTCAAATGTCCTTGTCTCCCCACCATGACCAAACTCTATCTTGCCATTTTGATGACCAAAAAGCCCCCCTAGGTTTAGGTTGGCCTCTCCCAGTTGCATTTTGCCACCTTTTAAGTCAAGCAGTTCTGTTTTAAGAAAGGAACAAGTGATTCAATTCTTCCCAAAAACATCCAAAGTGTACAGTTCATGTACTCTTAATTATAATCTACCAAATTATGTAAGTTACTTTAAATTAGAACTGACACTGCAGGTAATTAAAAAATGTTTTATTGACTTACGCTTTCCTCCTTCCTTATCTTCCTCAGATGATTTCCCAAATCCTCCCTTAATTTCCTGATGTCCATTGGTTTCAAATGTCCTTGTCTCCCCACCATGACCAAACTCTATCTTGCCATTTTGATGACCAAAAAGCCCCCCTAGGTTTAGGTTGGCCTCTCCCAGTTGCATTTTGCCACCTTTTAAGTCAAGCAGTTCTGTTTTAAGAAAGGAACAAGTGATTCAATTCTTCCCAAAAACATCCAAAGTGTACAGTTCATGTACTCTTAATTATAATCTACCAAATTATGTAAGTTACTTTAAATTAGAACTGACACTGCAGGTAATTAAAAAATGTTTTATTGACTTACGCTTTCCTCCTTCCTTATCTTCCTCAGATGATTTCCCAAATCCTCCCTTAATTTCATTATGTCCATTGATTTCAAATCTCCTTGTCTCCCCACCATTATTGAGGTTTATTTTCCCATTTTGATAACCAGAAAAACCCCCCAACTTCAGGTTGGCATCAACTAGTTGTAATTTGCCACTTTTCAGGTCAATTTGATCTGTGTTCGGAAATTAACAAATCATTCAAATGTTATCAACCAATGTCTTTTGCAATAAGTACAATAGCTTTATTTTTTCTTTACCTTTCAATTGGCCTATGATCTACAGCACAACAAAAACTTATGTGAGTTACTTTAAATTAGAACTGACACTGTAAGTAAGTAAAACATTTTTTATTGACTTACGCTTTCCTCCTTCCTTATCTTCCTCAGATGATTTCCCAAATCCTCCCTTAATTTCCCGATGTCCATTGGTTTCAAATGTCCTTGTCTCCCCACGATGACCAAACTCTATCTTGCCATTTTGATGACCAAAAAGCCCCCCCAGGTTTAGGTTGGCCTCTCCCAGTTGTATATTGCCACCTTTCAAGTCAAGCAGTTCTGTTTTAAGAAAGGAACAAGTGATTCAATTCTTCCCAAAAAACATCCAAGTGTACAGTGTATGTACTCTTAATTATAGTCTCCCACCTTATGTGAGTTACTTTAAATTAGAACTGACACTGCAAGTAGGTAAAAAATGTTTTATTGACTTTCGCTTTCCTCCTTCCTTATCTTCCTAAGATGATTTCCCAAATCCTACCTTAGCTAAGCGTGCAGATATCTGCACAAATCTGCAACCCTCAATACAGGCATATTCATTATCTTCAGAGTGGTTTCACCCTGCCCATGCACATTTCTTTTATAAATCAAGCCCATTGAAGTCTCTCTAGATATCCTTTTATCTTCTGAACCCTGCCCACCCACTGGACAACAAAGGAAAAAACTCCCTTAACCACATTTCCAGTAGTGCTTCATTTAAAGAACCTTAAATGTACAGTACTACCTCGGTTCAGGAACGCTTCTGTTTGCAAACAATTCAGTTTGCGGACAGAAATTTTGGCAAAATTTTGTTTCCGTTTGCGAACTCCACATCGGGTGACGAACATGACCGCAGCCATATTTCCCGCTCTGGCACATGGTCGTGGCTTCCTCTAGTCGAGATCGCGGTTTGCAGACAGACCTGTGCACACTTTATGTGAAGCTTTTTGGTGTGTTTTTTTAGCTCATACAGTACTGTACAGTAATATTCAATCCAGCATGTGCAGAGCAGGCATGGTGGTAAAAAGAGTGTGCAGAGCACTCTCTTCATACTGTACTGTACTGTATTTTGTTTCATATTTTTGTGGTTAACAAAAAATGTACATATGGTTCAGAACGGATTAACCTTATTTACATTGAACCTTATGGGAAAATTGGATTCGGTTCGCGACCAAAATCGGTTCACGTCCACGTTTGTAGGGGTCCGAACGGATTAACCTTATTTACATTGAACCTTATGGGGAAATTTGATTCGGTTCGCGATCAATTCGGTTCGCAACAAGAATCGTGGAACGAATTAAGTTTGTGAACCGAGGTACCACTGTATTTCAAATTTTTCTGGCAAAAGCACTTTAATCTGCCCTGATATGAGTGTGTACATTATGACTGATCACTTGCACATTAGTACTCAGCCTGGAAGAAGGGATGAGCCAGCACTACAAACCAATCAGGATCTGCTGCAGAGGTGGCATGCTTGTAGGAAGCAAAATGAGAGCAGCACAACTAATGAGCACACACGTTGTGTGTGCTGCTGCTCTTTCATTGTCAGATCACATATTGTGTGGGGGTTCCACACCTGGCTGTACTGCTCAACTGCAGTGTCGTCTATTTAAAGATCCAGAGCCTAAAGGGCAGTGTGCACGTGCCGGCCCGTTCGGCAGTTATCTCTTGATCATGCTAAAAACCAGCCGAAATCGTACGATTCTCGGCTGGTTTTCCAACATGCTCGAAATACAAAAGACGTGCGACCGTACAGTAGAAACGGTTGCACGCCTTCCATACACTGGACGATTATCGTACGATCGCGGGATTTCCCGTGATTCTCGTACGAGAATCGTGCAGTGTATGGGCACCTTTACTCTTGCAGGAGTGCCTGGATCACAAGACTGACTAAACAGAATTAAAACTCCTTTTGCATGTAAAACAATTCAGATGCATGTATTTGTTTGACACTCCTAGAAGTATCAATTTTCCAGCAGACTTCATGGGGAAATATTAAAGCAATGGAGAGGCATTCAGTGGTGGGGTCAGCTGTGCAGTAGTTCAGACTAACATTCTGTTTGTCCTTCAGGCTAGGTTCACGCCTAGGCCACTCCTGTGCGCGATTGCTGTGCGATCAGGAGTCCCCTGGGTGTGAACGCACGGTGGTTGCCATTATTTTTTAATGGCACCCCAGTCGCACCTGGCGGATTGCGCGGTTTCCCACTGCAATTCTGTCCGTGCAAGTGAACATGCATGGGCGGATGTGATGTGCCTTACCTCACTTCCGGTGTCACTGGGTACATTCTCCGTCTCTTAGAGCCAGAAGAAGAAGCTGGTGAAGCAGATCTCTGCTTCATCAGCTTCTTTGGGGTCCCTAGGTGACATTAGGGGTCTGAAGGACCACTGATGTCTCCATAAAGAGGACCTGTCACATTAAAGTTACTATTACATAAGGGGCTTGTTAGCCCCCTATTCGATAGCAATAAAGCTGCGTGTGAAAAAATGTAAAAAAAAAATTAAAGTAACAAAAAAAAATTACAACAATTTTTTTTTTCAAGTCCCCCGCCCCCCACGTGCGCCTACATGCAAAAATTAAAGTTCCACCACACATATTACATATCATCGCGAACGTCGGAGTGAGAAAAATAATTCTAGGCCCATCAATCACTGTTAGTACTAAACTAATGAGCCATAATAGCATTTAAAGCGTCGCCTATGGGAAATTTTGGTTATTGTGGTTTCCCGGACGCGCGCAATTTTAAGGCTTAATATCTATTTACCTGGCATGGCCACATCTTTTATATTTTACAAAAAAATCGGGCATTATATTCTGTTTCTAATTTAGTATATTTTATTCTAAAATACTTGATTGATAAACATTTGTGCAAATACCGTGCAACATAAAAAATGACAATTAGCATGTTTTTATTCTACAGGGCCTCAGCTTTCAGAAAATGTTTGGGGGTCTGAAGCCAAAAATTCAGATTTTATCATGTGTGTGCAAATGTGAGAAATTGCTCTGGGCAGCAAGTGGTTAAAAAAGACTACAGCTTACCTTTGTTGACTTCTCCCTTCGTCACAGCTGCACCTGGGTGGACATCACTGCTGATACCACCTGACTGGGATCTGCTGTTACCTTTGATCTCTGCTTTAAAAAGATAAATACAGTTAATAGAAAAAAGGAAACATGCACAATGCTGTCCACAAATGTAAAGCACTAACTAGGTGTTCAGGTATTTCTGTTTGTTCATAATTTAGAAAACATACACAGGGATCAATGTATGTATCCTGCATGAACTGGAAAAGTCCTGTCTGAAGTCTGGTGTAACCAGATTAATTAAAGCTAGTTTGTAAATGTCTCGTAAATGTTTGCTCCTTGCCCCATGCATTAAGTTAAGCTTAATATCTTACATAAGCATAGTTATATCCATATATTATAATAATGTATACACTAAGGAGTTCATTTATAACAAACTCACAGACCCATTTGCCCTACGAATCGTTCTAGCTGTTCATTTTATGTGAATGTACGCAATGTAATATTGCATTTTGGCCACTAGATGGAGGAGAGGAGCATAGGAAATAAGTATTAATTTCAGTGCAGCGTTTTGTGATGATTGAGCTTAATGAAATGTCACAAGTTGAAAATAAAGTTCGAACAAAAAGTAAGCAGTGCAATGTCCAGGGATCGCCGCATCAGCAATGTAACTGTCAGTACACATCAGTGGCTGAGCACTCAGCAAGGCTTGCTGGTGTGAATGGGCCTTAAATGACAACTCAATCATGTAATATATGTAAAAATAAATCTAATAATGTAATATGAAGTGACTGAGCCGATAGAGGGCACCAACAGACAGTCCTGGCAGGTTTGCTTGGTGAGCTCTTTTGATAGCATAGTGCTAATTGTAAAGTTTTGATATCAGTCCTCAAGTGAGACATATATTATAACCTGTGGAATCATACAAAATTAAAGCTCGCAAAAAGTCAATTTTGAAGAAGGAAAAAAATCCCTTAACCACATTTCCAGTATGGCTTAATTTAAGGAACATTGAATGCATTTCACATACTTCTGGCATAAGCACTTTAATCTGCCTTGATATGAGTGTGTACATTATGGCTCATCACTTGCACATTAGTTCTGGAAGGGGGTCGAGCCAGCACTGCAAGCCAATCAAGATTTGCTGTCATGGCTGCAGAGGGAACAAGCATGTAGGAAGGGAAAGCACAGAAGTGATCTTATTAGTATGCAGTTGTTCTTGCATTGTCAAATCACAGGTTGTAGGTGGGTTCTACACCAGACTGTATAATAGGCAGGTGCAAGATTCTTGGCTGAACAGTGACTACAACAAAATCAGACACAGTCACTATTAAGGTATTCAGACAGTCATGGGCGCTGCGGCTGTCTGAATGCAATAGCTAGCAACAGAGATTCCTCCATCCACGCTGTTTAGTGTGGATTGGGGAATCAATTGATTTCTCTTGTTCACCTGTAGGGCTGAAAATGGGAAATCTACCCTTGTATGGATGGCCTTAGGTTTATGACTGGGATTCATTTTTAACCCTTTCGCTGCCAAGCCCTCCGGAACATTTTGCAATTCAGGTGGCCAGCCATTTTTGCAGTTTTCCCATTGATTTGATTTTCAACTGCTTGCGTTGCTAGCGTTTGTAAATTACCCCCCAAACCATATATTTTCTGAAAGCGCAGGCCCGGTAGAATAAAAAGATGGTGCTACTAAATTGGTAGGCCCTGCGATAATTGCGCTAATGTTTCTCAAATTAATATTAAACAGATTAAAAATACACAATTCAATTGATAAAGCACACTAAAATCATAATCAGTGCACAAAAAAATATTTTCTGACTAAATCTAAAAGATAAAACTGTATTGAGTTAATTAATAACAAATATTTGCAAATTTGAAATCGCGCCTTTTTGCGAAAAGATCTAAAAATGAAGGTACGCAAAACTGTAAATAAGAGACTTATGTTAAACATTGTTTTTACGCTGTGTTGGTGTTGTGATAAAATGATACAGGCGTATATTTAATTGCAACACAAGGTATCACAACGCATGGCAATGCGTCACAAAGCTTTGCCAGGCGCTGCCGCAGTTAAAATATATTTTTTTTAAAGAAAAATAATGCACTGCGATGCATTCTAACAACTCACTGCAGCGCATGTGCATGGCGTACACCACATTATGGTGCACGTGTATGTGATGTGTGTGGGGGGAGCGAGGGGTTGTGCTTTTTTTTACACATTTTTTATTTATTTTGTAATAATTTTTTTTTTACATTTTTAATTTTTTTTTAATTTTAATGTTTTTACATTTTTTACTTATTTTACTTTTTTTTAAATTATTATTATTTATTCTTTTACTGTTGGGGGGACTACGATGAAATATCTGTGGTCTAAACAGACCCCTGACATTTCCCTTTTGAAATAGAAAAAGAAATTGAGGACTTGCCTGGTCCTGGCAGCCACGTGGCCGGGGGAGGGCCCGGTATTTTTGCTAATAGCTTGTGAGCCGCTGATGACAGCTATTAATTTGAAGGGGAAAGTCCAGGGGAAACGTTCTAGTATAAGCTCATGGTTGCTAAAGCGACCATGAGCTTATAGCAGAACTGTAAATGCCAGGTCCGTACGGCATACGTCCTTGGCCAGCCGGGAACACTTTTGTTCCTCTGTATGCCATACGTCCTTGGCAGGGAAAGGGTTAAAGTTATCATGATCTTGTGCCTTTAAAAGACTAAGTACAGTGGTACCTCGGTTCATGAACTTAATTCGTTCCACGATTCTGATCGCGAACCGAATTGGTTTGCGAACGGAATCAAACTGTGATCAGACCACAATCTCGACTAGAGGAAGCCACGACCAGTGTCAGAGCAGGGCAGATGGCTGAAGTTGTGTTCGTCACCCGATTCGGAAATCGCTAAAGGAAGCAAAATTTCGTCGAACTTCCTGTTCGCGAACTGAATTGTTCGTGAACAGAAGCGTTCGTGAACCGAGGTACCACTGTAGTTTAGTATAGCAAATTCTAAACTCAGCCATTTCTTCTACTAACCTTTTTCCCTTCCAAACATGGCAATTCCTCCAATTCCAGAGTTCTTTATTTCAGCACCTCCACTAATTCTGTAGGCTGCCTACAGTCTTAAGTACAATACTCTGCACATTGGTTGCCTTTTATCTAAGCCCTCCCTGACCTTGCCATTGGTGCCCATAGCATGGTAGCTGTTGTGTATTTGGGTATCCTTGCTATAGATTGAAACAGGAGGTTTAAAAGATGACCATAGTTTAAATTATAATGAGGCTAACTGCCCCTCCCTCCATTGCCCATCCCATATATAGTGCCCACTACAGACCTTAGAGGGGCAACCAGATCTTAGACCAGTGACCTATGCTGGCTCATGCTGCTCTTCCTTCCACCTCACTGAGCTGCTGCACCACAGCGAACTGTATATAGACACCTCTTCTCCAAAGTCCTTAATGGGGAAGCCACGTAGTTGTTGGCTGCCTGGTGATCTGAGGTCTATATGGGACACTGTGGGGGTCTATTCACTAAGCTGCCGTAGGCAGCCGAGTGACTAAGCGGCCCCAAGCAAAGTGAGCCTATTCACTTCAGGCTGGTACGGCTGATTCCAGCCATATATCAGCTGAAATCAGCCGTACATCAGGTGGCTTCGCGTGGCTTCGGGTCGGCCGAACATGCTCAGCAGAAGGAGTTCGACTCAACATCTGGATCGGCTAAGCCGGACCTCCGCTTAGCCTGAAGGACACACCTTTCCTCCCCCGGATGGAGAACTGCAGGTCCCCCTCTGCTGATTGACAGCAGCAGTGGGCGGGTGCAATAGCTAGTTTGCTATTGGCTATTGCAAATTGAAATAGCCAATAGAAATCTAGCTATGCATTCCTATGGTGATTTTTTTTTTCTTCTTCTGACGGCAGCCAAAACAAATCCAATGTCAGAAGAAAAAAAAAAGAGCAGGGAAAGGTTTACTCTGCTCGATCGAGCAGAGTGAACCTTTCTGGGAGAAAGTGTTTCTCTCCCGGGTGGCCGGGAGTCTAATAGAGTCCCAGAGCGTCCGGGGGAGGAATGACAGATGGCGTTCCTGGTTACTGGGTAACTAGGAACGCCATCTATCATTGCACACTGAGAACATGGAGAGGCCGCTCTCAGTGTGTAATGACAGCGTCCCTGGTTAGCTGGTAACCAGGGACGCTGAACTCTCTGAGAGTGGTCGGAGCCAGCCGTGAGATTAACCTCCGTCAAAATTAAAACTAATGTTATCCTTAAAATCTTCTAACTATATTTAGGTAAATTAGTAAACAATAGATATTATTCCATTACTCCATTTACCTTTAGTAGGTGCTTATTTGGTTTGTAAAAGTCAGTCATGTATGCTATTTAATACATGCAGAATTTTAAACTTTACACTTATTTCAAAAAGACAGCTCAATCCTAGACAAGGAAAATAGTTAAGAAATGTTATTTAAAAAAAATACCTGAGAGTTTTGATTTTCCTTCAAACAGGTTTTCAAGGTTTCCTGCTTTTCCTTTTACTCCTCCCATGTTTAAAGATCGTTTGGCGATTTTTAACGGCTTTCCCTCACTGCTTTCAATGACATTGGGATCATCTTCATTAAAAGTGCGAACCTGGATTCCAGGATCCTTGGCTAATATAAAAACAAAAAATGTGAAATGCGAACTACAGTGGGAATGGATTAAGTTTAACTAGGCAAAAATGTACAGAACATAGGGCTGGCACACTTCCACCTCTGTGATATATGATATCTAATCATGTGAACACATTTTTATCCTCCTTACTCTTCCTAAGCAGGTCCTCCGTAGCAGAAGAGATACATTATAAGGCTGTAGTACAACTTTACCACAGTAATAATAGCGATTGGAATTAGACTACTAATGCTGCAGTAATGGGTGGGTGGGTAGGTGGGGTTGATCTTTTGCACACCTACTATTACAAAGTTTCAGCGGAAAGTCAGTACGTCCTAAAAATGCCAAAAGTCACCAATTGGCATTTCTAGTAATCTGCACCACTACTCTTAATATGTTAGAATTGTTCTGGATTACTTCTTGATGATAATTTCTTTACAATTATTATTATTTACTTGTACTTTCCTTGTCTTATTTCAGTGCCAATAACCGACATTTAAAAACTGTGAAGTAAAAAGAGTGCTGTAATCAGGGCCGCCATCAGGGGGGTACAGTCGATACTCATGTGAGGGGCACGGGCAGCCTGGGGGGCCCGGGACCCTTACATGGGTATCGGCCAATGGCAGTACAGGTGACAGCAAGTGTGGAGGTGGAGGCGGCTGGGCCCCCGCAACGCCAGACCTGTGTTGGAGGTAGCCGGGCCCCAGCAGCGCCGCCGGTGTTCTGATCTCGGACTGGCTGGAAGTGACATCATGTCACTTCCGGCTGGTCCGGCGGCAGAGGAGGCCAGGCTGCAGGAGCAGATAAGAGGAGCTGGGAGGGATACGCAGCCCACCTGAGACCCTTGCAGAGCCCACCATAGAGAGTCTCAGATGTGCTGTACAGTATCTATGGTATGCTCTGCTGGGTCACTCTCATATCCTGGTCTCAGGATGTGTGGGGTCTCACTTGGGTCCTGAGTCCAGTGCGTTACTAACCAAAGAGTCCAGCGGGTTACTAAGCCCAGAGTCCAATTCATATACTGTTCTGCATTGCTAAATAATATGGTATTGATATTTGTAGTCCCCCTACAGCCGGTGCCACTCTGCATTAGAGTGTAAGCTCCTCTGTACAGAGATTGATGTAACACTGTGGTATATGTCAGAGCTATATAAATGTATAATAATAATATTAGTGTGAGACTGTGGAGGGACATTGGAGTGTAAGCTCCTCTGGTGCAGAGACCACCGGGCGGGGGAGGGGGGGGGGCAGTTTTTTATGTATGTAATGTGTGCATTACAGCACTTGGTATGGTCCCGTCCCCCCCTCCCCTTTAACTTGGTACCTTCCTGTACACGCAGGAAGGAGGGTTTTCAGGAGGTAGAGCTTGGTCTGTAGTGGGCTTTACCAAAGAGCGATCAGGGAGTGGAGCATAGTCGCTTGAGTGGTAAGGTAAACGTTTTAGCAGCCCGACAATGGGGGTGGGGAGGGAGAGCCCACACAGGGCCTGCACAGAGTGGTGTGGGGTGGTGGCAGTGGAGGGGGCGGTGTGAGGCCGAAAATTGTGTAAGGGGCCTCTGTCATATTAAGCTGACACTTCTCCTCTGGGTGAAAATACATCTGAATAGCAGTGCCCACACCTCACCTTAATAGATCCTACTAACTTACAGTAAATGCAAAGATCCAGATTGTTACAGATGGCCATTCCTGACTGTTTTTTTTATGTAGCCCTTCCAATTTTCACACCCCTACTATATCACACCCCTATTTTCAACACTTCAGTTCTCTAAGCAACTTACAAGTGCAGTTAGCTTTGACAACGCAGTCTTTAATTTCACCATTGTCGCATTCACTGAAAGTGGAAATTAAAAACATAAAAAAATGAATGCATTTAGAAAGTCCCCACAGAGAAAGCAGAGATAAAAAAGAGAAATACATTGATTTATGTCATGTCTGATTATGTCAATATATAAAGCCTGTCTTAAGAAGCATTTCCAAGTGTTATATTTGCAGTAACCATAGACAGCTCTCAACAATAAGATAAATGTCGTAAAACATTTATGGTTAAACAGGTTTATTGGTGATCGAAATGGTGACAAGGGGTAACCCACAACACCTCATAAACATCATAGATAAACAAGTAACCATTGCTGCCATGGTAACAGCTTGGGAATGCTGAACAACACCAAGGAGCTGATTTACTACAGGCAAATAAGCTGTATATTTTTCAACAGAATTTTCATTTAGCAAAAAAATGCTGTTTTTTTATATTTTCCTTGCATATGATTGGGTGAATTGTCAAAAAACTCCCAAAAAACTCCCTTGCAAAGTCACCATCCTATTTGGCTTTAGCACATCAACCCTCATAGCTCTTTTGGAGGGACAGTCTCTCAGTTGACACTCGTTCTCATCAAATGTATTAATATAAATGCATCCAGAATCGGTGATTTACAGCCAAATATGATATCATGGTAATAAGCCAGTTCTCAATGTGGAATAAATGGCTCAAAAATATTAGGCTGTATCTGTACTATATACCAGTAGTTCTGGATGCACAGATTACTCAAAAGGAATAAAGGAATGATTTGTTTGGCTCTGCCTACTTTCTGATGAGAGTGAAAAATGCAGATACTTTCTGTTTAATGAAGGCTTACTGTGATTGGAGGGCTTTTTGGTTTCTTTTTTAGCCCACCTCACCTATCTTGTCTGGTTATAGCTTGTTTTTGTTAAATCTGTGTCCTTTTGCCATCCTGTGGCTTGTCAAGAGTACTACGCTAAGCAAAATGTAAGAAAATCAAGTCAGATACCATCCAGAATGTATTCCTAGTTCAAAACATATCACAACTCTAGAGGAAGATACACATACCTCATTTATTGCCTTCATGATTCCCCATTCATTTAAAAATACCCATTTCCAGCTCCACCTGCTGCAATATTGTGGGAACTTGGTGAGTTAAAATGTATGGAATTGTATATAAACCCAAAAGCAAAAATGTAATATGTTGCAGCTTACCATTTCTTACACATGGTGGCTGCATTAGTTTATTTTTATGTCTTTCTTTTCATCTGGTGATCCAGCCAGAGCGTCACAGTTTGCTAAGTGCTCTGACAACCCCCCCAAGTGACCCAATAGGCAATCACCTCAGGTTGCCTTATTATAGGCATGGTCCTGATCTGACCTTTTAATACCTTGTCAAAGTTGCCAGCAATAAGAGCCCATTCACACCAGGGCAGTTATGGATCAGCGTGGTTACCGCGCTTATCTCGCTTATCTCGCAAGGAACTTTATGGGAGTTTGCTGAAACGCATTTAAAAATGCCCAAAACCACGCTGATCATTGTGATTACATTGAAAGCTGTATGGAAACCGCACTGATTAGCGCGGCAAAAATAGTGCAGGGAGCAGTTTGGGTGTGGGGCAGTCGCAGTCGCATGAACCGTCCCCATAGCAATGTATGGGATTGTTCACGTCGGCGGATCCGTGCGGCCAAAACCGCGCGGCTAAACCCGCCCGGTGTGAACGAGGTCTTATGTCTGTACCGCAAGTCTGTTTTATAAATATCTTCTCAAAGGAAATGATTTAATGATAAATACATTGAAGGAAATTTATACAAACGGGAGCAGACATAATCTGGAGCAGTTGCCCATGGTAACCAATCAGCCCCTCTCTTTCATTTTGAAATCTTAACTGAACAAACTGAAGAGAGAAGCTGGTTGGTTGCCATGCACAACTGTTTCAGTTTTGATAAATTCCCCCCATCTTCTTTATAAAAACATTTAGCGTTCCTGTTTCTGAATTTTGTCACATCTAGATAATTACCAGATCGAGCAGGCTACAGTCACTGTTTCTCCATGGCTGATCACCTTCCCATTGTAAGGACAATCTGTTGTTACAAATAAAAAGAAAACTGTTAATGTTGATCTATATTTAAGCTGAGTATGAGAGAAGTATTCTGTGTATATATTATACAGAACTAGGGCCGGACCTGTGCTAAAATGCGTTAAACTGGTTTACACAAAAAGGCCATATATCTAGTGAAACCTCATTGGGGGGAATTTATCAAAACTGGAGCAGACAGAATCTGGAGCAGTTGTCCATAGCAATCAATCATCTTATCTCTTCAGTCTGTTCAGTTTTGAAAATGAAAGAAAGAAGCTGATTGGTTGCCCTGGGCAGCTGCTCCAGATTCTGCCAGCACCAGTTTTTATGAATTTACCCCAATGTGCCATGTAAAGCTATGAGGTTATGAATAATATCAGCTACCATTAAGCTTTTGTTAAACAATGTGGGAACAAAAGGAACCATGGTTGGCTTCACTACAAAAAAAAAGGGAAAAGAAAACAACAGCAAAGACAGAACAAAGACTCCCCCAAGGTAATGCATTTTACAAAAATGGTGCCCAAAATAATATAAATTTAAAGTGATAAATAGGATTGAAAAATAATTCATAATCAGAAGTGATGTGAAATGCCACTTACACCAAATGCCAACTACACCGTCACTGCCAACTACCATAAGTGATTATTGCACAGGGTTATTTTATCAACTGCCACAAACCTGGGCAAATCAAGCTTATTATATACAAGCAGATGTTACCTATAGTGATGATGACATGTCACAGTGATCAGTAGTTCCATAGATATAGACAGCTTAACATATATGCAAATATTGACTTTAAATTGTCAACCTATTTTTGCTTGGTAATGCTTGAAAATGTCTTTTGCTCCCTGCACAGACAGGAGTACAGGGACAAGCGAGGCCAATCCATACACAAGGTATCACCATACATTGCATGTCCTTTAGTAATTGGCCACCACGCTGGCAGATTGTCACGAGAAACCAAGCTCCCCAATTCAGACAGAGGTAGCAACTGAAAGCAGCATGCACACACTGACTACAGTTATTACAGAATACCTCCAGTCACCACTAGGAGATTCACAAAAGTCTAGCTGACACAGGCCGATACAAACATACACAGGCCGATACAAACCTTGCATAAAATCTGGTTTACTCTAAAGGTGCCCATACACCTTACAACCTTGTCTTGCAGTGGTTGTAAGCTAATTAAGAGCTCTAACTTGCTGCACACATTTCCTGGGAAATTGTAGACTTGCAGAACACTTGCAGCACAAGCTCTAGTTGACACTTTTTGAATTAGTAGCTGGCCACAGACCTTACAACCATCGCAAGACTTCTGTCTTGCGATGGTTGTAAGGAAATTTTAAAAACTTACGATCTGTCCATCTTGGACAGGCAGATCGTACTTGCGATCATCGAAAGCCTGCCCCGCTTCCAATGACCGCAATGCTGAACGGGCAGAGCGCGCGTGCGCACACCAGCCCGTTCCGCAGTTGTCGAGCGAGCAGGCTAGAAACCTGCGGAGAATCGTACGATTCTCGCCGGGTTTTCTAGCATGCTGGTTCGACAAAAGACGTGCACCCGTACAGTAAAAACGGTCGCACGCCTTCCGGATTTCCCGCAAATATCGTACGATAATCGCAAGGTGTATGGGCACCTTAAGGGTTGTGTGGCAGCTAAGGTAATTTTCACACACTTCTGAGATTCCACAAGCTATTCTGTGAGCTGTAATTTATGAGCACTTTTATCTCCCCACTGCCCACACAGACCCACACACACCAGTCATATGAGTTATGGTAGTTTGCCACATCATGCAGTTTGTCAGCTGACTGCTCTGCCAGGCTAACATACAGACACACAGATCCCTGAAAAACGAGTATACAGGCACTAGAAATATAATGCAACAATCTCTCTAGGAGTCATGCATCCTTAGTACATAGAAGGCCACTTATTATTTTTTATAATTAGTATTCCTAACCAATATGTTTATACAAATATGTAGAAAAGTAAAAGGTTACAAAGCCAAGAAAGAAAATGCCAAACAGAAATGTCTGATAATAAATAGAAGAGGAGAAAACCCTTACGCTGCGTTCACACCTTAGGGTATTGGAAACTCGCGTTCCTTACCGCGTGGTTTTACCGCGATTTGCGATAAAAGAAACGCACGGCAAACGCGAGTTTCTGAGGGGGTATCCGGCTGTATCCTGATGGATACAGCGGGATACGCGCATTAATACTCCTCAAAGAAGCTCCTGTACTTCTTCGGGCGTATGGCGTTTTACCGCGCGATCGTACGCGCGGAAAAACGCACAGGTGAGAACCATGCCCATAGGCAAACATGGGTTTTCACCTGTTGCGCGTTTTACCGCTCTGGTGTGAACCAGGCCTTAATGTTACTGTTTGGGCAATATTGTGTTATCCTGTTGGCAGGAGTATGCCAGAAAATTCAGCAATCAGCCTTGTTTTTGCACAAACTTTAGACAAATTACTCTGTTCATTTTCTGGCTACTTCATTCATAGAGGTAAAGATGTGGAATAAGCTCTAACACTTGGCCAATCACCTTTGGAGGTGGTAGCTTACCTGCTGTAAGAAGAATTCTTGCCTTCTAAAGTGGCCGTAGGTTATATGGACCAGTTAATTCTGATGACTTGATTGAGTTTAGGATTTCTGACATCAGTGCATCATTTCAATCACAGCAAGTTCAAACAACACATGGCCAGAGTGAGCAGGGTCCATATAAACAGTTTGTCAGTCCTCAGGTTGTTCTATGAGGATAGGACATACCATTCTGCATCTGCATGTAGATCATAGTTTGTACTATCAGAAGGAATAACTCTCATCTCCCCACAGCTAATACTAGATAGATGAAACATCAATAGACTGAGAGATGAAACATATACCCTCTGCTCTTTGGAAAATTACAAACTATTGCAGACACTTTGGAACCCAGTACCTGCAGAGTCTGAAAGGGCCCTTTAACGGCTTGCTCCCCAGTGAGGTGACAGTTGTCAATAATTATCTGCAGCCACAAGCCGACAGGAGATTTGTTTGCAGGTAGGTATTAATTTTTTTTACCTCCAGACCCCAAGCTGTCTATACTAAAATGTGAACATTTGTCCAAATTACTAACCACTGAATTAAGAAAGTATTTGTATTATCATCTCTACTCTATATTTAAATTCTATATGTAATAAAAGTTTTTAAAAAATGTCGCACTCCACAAGATCTTTACCGGAAAAGCAAAGTCTTTGTCCATGGAGCAAAAAACACACGCTGCCTATAACTCCCCTCCTTGATCCTCATCCTCTAACGCGTTTTACCATTTAGGCTTAATCATAGAGAGGAGGGGAGTAATGGGTTGCGTGTGTTTTTTGCTGCCTAAATAAAGACTTTTATCTGTACCTTGGACACAGGCAAGTGAGAAGTCAAATTCGGAATGTGAACATTGTTTTGTCTTATATTCTGTAATAATGTTAAAGTGTGTTTTAATTTATTTTTTAATATTGTATGCAAATAATAAGCAAACTATTTAAAGATACATTTATAAGCATATAAATAATAAAATAAAACTACAGTATATTGCAATTAGAAGCAATATAAATGAAAATGATATCTGGGATTTTGTCTTTATTTCTGTCAAAAACAAATGTACCCGTCCAGTTCCACCCTGCCCATATCTGCTGGATGACTTTTAGTGTCATTTATAGAACAATGTCGCTGGTCTCGTCCGCATATAAGAGAGCTGGAAATGCAATGAAAACACAGCAGACAATACAGAGTATCTGTCGGGGACCTACCCAGCAGCGGCAGCTGTGCTGCAGATCCCGGCCCCTCCTCCAGTTCAGACGTCACAACTCGACGTCGCACTCCTCGGGCCGCCGAACGTAGCCCCGCCTACACGGATGTCGGCTCCCTTACCCCCCCCCACGTCTCATCTCTGGACTGTGGCCAAGATACATTGCTGACAGCCTGACTAAAACCACAAGTAACTTGGAGATTTAGACTGTGTTATTGTGTTGCTGGACTATATCGCCATCTGCTGGCGAGAGCTATACTGCACCCTCCTGTGATCTCTCCCACTGAGAAGTAGTTACATTTTGCATGTGCTATATCCCATGGTACTACTTCACATAGATACCGCATTATAGTTTGTTGCTGATCTGTCACTTAGCTGCATTTATGTGTGCAATAATTGTGGGAAATTAACTACATTGTATGCTGGAATACACTGGTAGTTTTTCTTTTGTTTAAGTGGTATATGATGTTTGTGGGAGCTGCGCACCTAAGAGGGTTACAGCAGCATCCCCAGCCTGAACCACTTCCTGATCCGATTGGGCTGGGCCCTGAGATCTATATCTGAGCTCCATAGGCAGTGGGTAGAGCATTACAGTATCTTGATTTAGGTCCTTCACCTAAAGATGAGGGGTGTACAGTAAATCATGACATTTTCCTAAGACTCATAGCTGACACGAATACCCC